TGGTTGAAATTTTTTAAAAAATCGATTACAAATCGATTATTGCTAACTAATCGATTAATCGATTAATCGATTAGTTGATTAATCGATTAGTTGTTTAGTTGATCTAATTTAACAATAATACTGAATATAAAACTGATAAAAATTTTATTAAAAAAACTAATTAAAATAAAACCAACTAACCGATTAATCGATTTTCGATTCATATCACTACGGAAATAGAGATTCCGACACAAAGTTATGAAGTTCTGTAACAGACTTGTGTCAGTATCCTTATCTGTTATGTCCTCAAATCCGGACCTTCGATCAAAATTTAGATAATTAAATATTACAAACGTTTTTTATTTACTTATTGTATAAAAGGATAATACTATGTAGATTTTTATTCGGAAAATTTTTACTTAGAGGCCTAAAGTAAGGTATCATAGTAAAATTTTGCGTTAGCTACGGTTTGTTAGTTTTTTATTGGTTCCGACTCATACGGAGGGGTCCGGGTTTGCAAGACATGTTCTAACGTTCGTGCATTATTCCTTTGAAAACATAGGCAGAAGTTTGTCTGATTACCTGGTTTTTTAAATTAATTTGTAGATATACACGTTACTAATCAAAATACACAATTGTCACGCGTCATTTTACAAAAAAAAAACTTACATAAATTGGTAAGCACAGATTATATGCATATCGTTAGACGTCGCTAAAAAAATTGACGTACGTGAGTTCAAAATCTTAAAATTTATAAAATATAATGTAAGTAAAACTTAACAGTTAATACAAGTTTTACATAGTATTTTAAATATTTTTTAAAAAAAATTTTTTGATATTTATTTTACAACATGGACTCGGATATTTCATTTTTTTTCACTTTAGCCTTTGAACAAATATTATTGAAAACTATATAACAATCGAAAAAAATGAAAGATATATACATAATAGATTATTCAAAATACAATCATTGTCTAGCCATTTTATAAAATCCAATCAAGTAAATATGATAAACCCAGCTTTAAATATTAGGCTTTAATGCACTTAATTGGTTAACATTGGAGTTATCAAAGAGTTGAATATTCAATTAATCATAAACCCAAGGTTGCTCTATCGAAGACTTTTTATTTCGTTATTGTCAATATAAAACTAAAAAAAAAAAATAAATGTTAAATTTAAAACCAAGTGTCCAACATCGATAGGCTAAAAATGTATAAATATCCAAAAAAAGGCCAAATTATGACATAATTCCAATAGGCAAGTTCATCGTTTTACGAAATACAGGTTTCCAACAAAACTTAACGTGATTAATAAAGTCTCTTAAAATATTATAAATAAAACATCTAATCAAGAAACTAATCAAATACAAAGATTGATAGTTGTCATTGTAATAAAAACATTGCAGAAGTAAGTTATATTTACCAGAGTACATGCAAAAATCATTAAGTTTGTTCTTATGTTAAATATTCTTTATTTTCTAAGAATTTTTTGTACTATTTCTTATACTAGTTTAGCGTTTTATCTTTTTTGAAGTACATAGATTTTTTATAGCGCAATACAGCAATAATTAATATATTAAACATCGATGTAAAATTAAATATACATAATAAATAAATAAATAAAAGTGTATAACTAATTTTCACTCGTGGTGATATCACTTGGTATTATAAACTTTTATTAAAAATTAAATAGCTTTAACCGTATTGGCGCGTAATAACGCGCATCTGCGCGTTATTTTGAGACCCTGCGCGTTATTTCGACAAATTTGGGTTACCCTGCTTTTACTAATGAATATGTATATTTAAGGGGTGCGTTATTTTGGGGCGCGCATGTGCGTTATTTCGAGTCAAATAAGCCAATACGGTAAATTTTTCGCTTTGTTTTGGTTACACAATGTCAGGCGATCTGATTAAAATCTAACAATATGAAATTTTGACCAATAATAATCGATGCACGTGATTAAAATCTTGATGACGCGTCCATATAAAGACAATCATTTCTGTTGTTTTTTTTTTTTCATGAACTTGAAGAACTGACGATTTAGACATGAATGGTATGTTAAGAAGAATATGAAATTTTGGATGTTGGGGAGCAACAATATCCTACGATACTTGGAGGATACCCCCTTTGTCGTGGCTTTACTACCGCTCTGTGGTCTACTCCTCAACCCCTAGAGGATACCCCCTTTGTCGTGGTTTTACCACCGCTCTGTGGCCTACTCCTCAGCCCCTAGAGGATACCCCCCCTTTGTTGTAGTTTACCACCGCTCTGTGGCCTACTCCCTGGGTATTATTGGATGTGTTTTTATGCTCGTGTTTGCCTAGTCATTCAACGACTTTGCTCTGATGCTTGATAAAGGAAGTGCGGGATACTCCCTTTGTCGTGATTCTGTCACCACTCTGCGGTCTACTCTTGACTTTGCTTTATCAGAAACACTTGTCTTTGCTTTCTTCTTCATACTGTTTATTAATTTTTTTTTTTTTTTTCATTAGAAAGAATAGGTTTATTCGAAATCAACCTATGATGATTCTAAAGCCATAATAATTCCGTTTAACTAATTGTAATTCGTAATTTTAGCCAAATTAATAAAATGAAATAAAAAAATCTCAACATAGTTTTAAAAGTACATTATTTATGTCATTTACAAGTTACATGCTCTACTAGAACGAAAGTTAGAATATTTTAAAAATATACCGTTTTTATTATAAAATTACTATGATAAATTCTTTAATAAATTATAAATCGAAGGATGATTTTTTTTAAAACAAGAAAAAAAAAAATTGTAATCAAACGTAAATAAATTTAATAAAAAAAAACAATTTTTAAAATTATAAATCGAAGGATAATTTTTTTTAAAACAAAAAAAAAAATTGTAATCAAACGTGAATAAATTTAATAAAAAAAAAACAAATTTTAAAATTATATTTATTTAATACTAGCTGCAAACCCATTGCTTCGCACCGGGGAACAAATTTTTAACTAAAAAAAAAAACAAAAAAAGTTATATACCGGTATATATATTCATAATACATATTTTATGAAATATATAGTATGAAATAATTAAATTTAAATATGTATATCTACATCTATATAACATTAATTTTTTTATTAATAATAATAACAACATAGAATTTCGACCTTGTAACTTTGAAATCTTACATCTTTTTGCAATAAAATGTGTTTGCAAAGGGGTTGCAACTAAATCTAACAAGACATAAACTTGCGATTTTGCAGCAGGCATCTCGAATAGTAAAATTAATTTTACCAGATTGTATTATACCGTAATGCTGCAATGTCACAATACTGGATTTGCCAAAAGTTCCCAAAGACCATTCTGGCATACAACATAATCACTACGGGTGAAAATCGTAGAATATAAAAATTCATAAAATTCGCATTTCATTTAACATCAGTCATATGTTGACAAGTATAAAATAATTGACACAAGATATACAGGAATTATTTAATAATGTACTTAATAAAAATATTATTATCGGTTATATATTTATATTGCCTTTCGGGATAGTTATTGCGATAAAAATTTGTGATGAGTGAATGTATACTACAATTCGAGATAAAACAGATTGAATAAAAAACAAAAATACAACATATATATAATATTGTACATTAATTGACAGTAAAAGGGAAATTAGAATAATACAAGATACCATTTTTTTCTGAAATAGTATAAATCATAAAACGATTGTTCATGGTTGGTATATGTTGGTATATGATGGTATAATTCCTAATGTCGTTTGCTTATACGTTTCAAAGATATAGTATTTACCTACCCAATTAACAAGATGCCCCAAAAGACAAAGAACTAAATATATTGTTTATGACCCACTGGATCCAAAACTTATAGGCCACTTCAATCTTAATTGTTCAATCCATCTAATATATAACATTTCAGAGATCGGGGACTTTGGTGAAGTCTCTTCTACGGGTGTATCAGCCGAATTTTTAGACGAATTTTGATCGGATGAGGACGACGAACCTGCATCTAGCACTAATTCTGGAGTTGTTAAAAATGCATCAGAAACAACACCCAGATCCGATAATTTTTCACATAATTCAACATTGCTATATTATAAAATAAGAGTCAGTGATGTGCAGTAAATAATTCTATAGATAAAAAAAATAAATAAATAAATAACAACATAGTTACGTTTTTAGCCGGGTTAATATTTCTACTAATGTTGTAAGAACCAAATCAGGATTAACACGATCCAGCTCCTCAACACTATTTTCAAATATACTCAAGGCTTCAATCTCATTCGCTCTCAGATCATTTGATTTGATCTATTACATGAATTGTATTAATTATTTGCAAAACTTAAGACATGAATGGTAAGAGTATGTAATTAAAAAAAAAAAAATAAACCTTTGCTACAGACGGAAGGATGATGTCATTTACGAGTTGTCTTCCAACGACCCCTTCTTCTGTCACTGGTTCAACGATCGAAATGTTTCTAGAAAACCTTGAAAGAGAAGCGTCAGCGATACTAAATGGTCTGGGCGCCCGTATAGTATCAAGTCTAAAAAACAATATATATATATAAGGAATTTATTTGTTTCACTATTTTACAAGTATACACATTGTTACTTACTCTCCATTCATTATATTTATAGAATTTGTTGTGCCATTGCTATTATTATTCGTAGTGGCTTGTTCAGTTTGCGCCTCTGTGATACCTAAAGCATTAACTTCAGCGTTCCCACGCTTTAATAAGTTAGTAATATAAGGGGAATTTATAAATTTAGTAATACTTTCATTTAAATATGGGTGACGTCAAAGAAAAACCAGACTCTGATTTTTTTTTATTGGACTCAACTCCTAATAAATTTAATTAGCCGAGTCCGATCAGTACTAAACTTAAAATTCCGGAGTCAGGTTTTCCCTTGGCGTCACCTATATACAATAATTATTTAACTTCTATTATTTTAAGCTTACCGAAAAGTCGGATAACTTAATAGTAGCATTGTTTGAAGCTGAAGCCTGAAAATTTTTTTCATAAGAATAATTGAATTAAACGCTCTATTAAAATCACATAATTATTGAATTCAAATAACTATTGAGTTCAAAAAATTATTAAATTCAAATAACTATTAAATTCAAATAACTACTGAATCCAAATAACCATTAAATTCAAATAACTATTGAATTCAAATAATTATAAATTCCAAATCACAAACTTACAGATGAACTACGCTCCAATCTTCTCAATTCTTTCAATGTCATATGGTCCAATCGAATAGTGCCATCTTGATGTACTTTCCTTATTGTGCCAAAATCCCAAATAATGCTTGATGTATCATAATTAATAGTCTTACTTATGAATATAAATTAAAATAAATAAATAAATAAATAGATAAATTACTATTTTCGTTCCTTTATTTTAATAACAATCCATTCTCAAAAAGTTACTTAACCACTCACGTTTTTTGAGACGCAGATTCAGCCCTTTCTCCGCCATTAGATTTCCAATTACTATATCGTTCAATCAATTCTTGTAATTGTGTAGTGTTACGAGCAGATTTTATAAAACGATGTCGCAATAATTCCTTGGCGGTTGGTCGCTAATTTGTATAAGAAATTCTATATAAGAAAACCCAGATCGAATAATATGAAACACATAAATTATCATTTATTTTTTTAATCACCAAAATCAAAAAACCCGCCCATACGTTTTATATGGTTAACGTTAAGGTTGACCCGATTTAGAATTAGGGTTGGCCTGCTTTGAAGCTAGCGTTGGCGGGAATTAGGTGTCAGGGAAATGATTGTCTGAAAAATCACAATAATTGCAGCAAAAAAAAATA